TAAAATATGAAGGATAACCTTACGCTACTAGAGCGACTGCTAAGCTCTCAATTCGGTGTAAACTTTTACTTCTTTAAGGGTACTCACACACCACTAAAATTACTGCTAACAACTCATTTACGGGTAAAATCACCCAAATGTATCTGTGGTGCGTTCTAGGAGCATTTACCAAGAACTATTGGTGTAAATACTAAAGCATCGCTACGACCATGGAAACGGATATCCCAGTGGGAACAACTGACCCAGGGTACTAGTGCTGGGCAACACGTTCGCCTGGCCGTCTCGACAAGATGGCAATGATTCGGAGATTTCATTGCCTAGTCATGCAATATTATAAAGTATACTTGCCTTACGTAAACAAAGTATACATTGAGACGATATAAATGCAACATTATTTAACAGATTGACACAATGTAATTTATGATAAAGTTGACATACAGAAAAAAATAATCTAGTTATGTCAAGTACGTTGCAGGATATGCATATTAATTATAATTGCATGCTATATATTCAAATTCAGATATTTAAGTAAAGGGAGATAATAATATGAATACACTACCATTGGTGTAAATTAACCCTGTAAATATAAATATGAATCTTAAATACTTTCGTTTGGTATATGGTACACTCGAAATAGTGTTAAAAACAGACACGAATAGAAGGATAAATATTCACCGATCTCAGTGTAATGATCTATACGATTTTAAGTGAAATCTTACACTTTTTGTCGTGCTAATATTACACCCTAGCAAGCGGAATGTGAATACACTACGATTGGTGTAAATTAACACAATAAATATAGTTATCAATATATAAATGTTACACGTTCTATCGTGCTAAAATTATACGCGTAATGTTTCACTACAAAAAGTTACAAGAATACACCACGTTCAGTGTCATGCTACACTATTTACTGCTTTATTTGTTTCTAGTTACTCACCCCTCCTCGAGAAATAAATTACACCCAAAATTATGTTTTATTACACTTATTTTCAGTATACTTAACACCGACCAAGGGCGAACAGCTGATTCACTTTTGTAAGTGTAAACTTACACCATTTATCGTTTATATTTTACACAAAATAAGTGTAACTAAGGGTTTACACTCCATTGGAGTAAATTTGCACTTCAAATCGTCTAAAGCCACTCTTTCTTAGTGTAAAGCACCAGTTACACCAAATATGGATTAAGATTTCACTTGATAAAGAGTAACGTTACACACTTTTTTTACAGTGTAGGCTAGCGGGCCAGCGTCTTGCCCATTCAGCCACCGTAGCCCCTTACAAGATGGTCGATCATTTGGTCGGATAGAAAAAAAATGAAACAGTACTACTGGTTGGTAAAAGGGTTTTAGTCCAGTGTTACAATAAAGCTGGTCTGCCAACAACAGCTAAAGGGTGATCCCCAAAAATAAAAAAAAAATTTAAAAAAACAAACAACACAAATCATAAATTTTTTATTAAATCCTATAAAGGTCCAGCAAATTTCAAGGATAAAATCTTTGAATATATTAAAAGATGGCGAATCACAGTATCCTGTTAAAGGTGAAAGTCATCCTACAAACCATTCCAATAGATTAAAATGGATGTTGTCAGACGGACGAGTTGATGTTTCTAGTGGATTACCCACAGTTCCGTTTCATTGGCCAATCCCTCAAATCATCCAGAACGAGGGTTATACAACAACTCTTCCAGAAACTAGTGTTGTAAACACAAGTAAAACGAAATTTTAAACTAAAAACAACGAAACGAAAAAAGATCTGTGTTTGAAATCAGATTGGTTTTACTGATATTGTTCATAACCTGGCGAGAGTGACAGGTTTAACTCTAAAACCTAAAACATGGTACACTATGAGAAAGAAATGGGGTTTAACGTCCGCTCGACACAAACTAGGTCATATCGGGACTAACATATGATTCAATTCTAATTCAATAATTCGCTTGTGCGTTGGGGAGGATACCGGAGGACCCGGAGAAAAACCCACGAGGTTGGACAGGCGACCCCTACTCCTTGTAACGTACAACCGGGGAATCGAAACCACTTCAGTTGACTCAGTGATAGACTTTTTGTGTAGATCAACCACCTGTTATACAAGGTGGGTATATCTACTCGAGATCAGCCACCTCTTCTAAAGCCTAAAATGAAATAAAATGAAATGCGCGGTTTAACCCCCGAGTTCTCTGCTCCAAGCGAACTCAAAAAAACGGGCATACGCCATACAGTTTACAATATTGTTCCTTGTCAACCCCTACTCCCGTCCTGCAACATTGACAGGGGAGAAACCCGAGGAATAACTGACCTATATTTAAAATATAATTTAGATTGATGATTTTATAGACCTAATTCTTGCTTTAACGTTCCCTTTATCTTTGTGGGTTTTTTTTTAGATTTGTCAAGAATACATAGTATGAAAGATGGCAAAAGCATGACAGTATCATGGGAAAATGTTTTTACTTCGTTGTGAAAACATCTGTATTATGAAGTCAGTCTAGAGTCTATTTCTGATTTGGCTGATGTGATGGAGGCAGACAATCATTAAATTTCACCATCTGGGTACCCACAAAATGTAGTTCGTCCATTCATAGCAATTCTCTCTCTATTGCTTTTCTCCCCTTTTGCATGCCCATTTTTGTTGATTTTTGGTTACGTCGATATGTACGGCGAATAGTTAAATGTTTTTAGTATGCTTCTTCAAGTTTGTGTATCTCAAAATATTGGTGGTCAACCTGATACAAATTTTAGTGCATAGATGTAACCATTTGTTCTTCTGTATGTAGTGAAAAGCATTCAGCCGAACGATAATTTTGGGAAAAGTTGGAGGTGTGCAAAGAGGCCAGAGTTAACATTGAAGTCAATGGGCAAGTTAATGGTGGTCTGCGTCCTGTATACCATGGCAAGAGTTTCCTCCCTTTCTATTCATCTCCCAAGCAGACCTAAATCGGGAGAACTATATCTTACAATAACTGCTATAGATCCATGTGGATTATAGACACATCTAACACATACTATCATTCTATAAATAGCAAGTCCTGGATATTGATGTCCGCCCTGTGTTATTATTTCAAATATAAACTATTTAGAATATGCGAAGGCACCGGTAAATGCATATTCGATAGAAGGCTTGATCTTGCTTGGGTTATGAGCAAAACAGATGCATGGGTTATTAACAAAACAGCTGCATGGGCTATAAGTAAAAAGTGGTTGCATCCTGTAAACAAGTCGTTGATCTGCGAAACTTGATGTATTTATATTGTATCATAAACTGATATGTCAATATAATTCGGGTGAGGGTGGGGGCTATCCGAGGGTGTTGAAATTTTGAGCCGATCACTAAATGACTAATCCCTTGCGAGATTTAATTGATTGAAATGTTTCAAAATACAGATTAAAAGAACCTTATCAATAATTATGACAGACAGAGAAAAATGAGGTTTAACGTCCACTCGACACAAACCAGGTCATTTCGGGACTAACATATTATGATTCAATTTTATTTCAATAATTCACTTGTGTGTAGGCGTCTTTAGCAGTGGGAGGAAACCGAAGGACCTGGAGAAAACCCACGAGGTCGGACAGGCGACCCTACAACTGGGAAATCGAAACCACGCCAGATGACTCAATGACAGACCTTATGATGCAACGCGCACGCGCTAACCATTCGGCCATTCAAGCCAGCAATAATTATGACAATTGTGGTGGATATTTGTTTGCTTTACAAACATATAAAATGTCTTATTTATTAACTCAAATAATAAAACTAACTTATAATTCATGTATGAGGATGACTGAGCAGTGGATTCAATAGTGGCGACTAACGTAAAACAAGTAGTTCGTTTTTCAGATTGAAATCTCCAAAAAGCATGTACTAGACAGTGTTTCACATTTAAACATAACCGAGGTCCCGTGTACACATTGGCGTGCACGTAAAAGATCCCTTGGCAGTTGGAATTCGATAAAAGAATAGGCCGTAGCGCCGTTGCCCGGGCAAAATTACCCCCATAGCACACTGTATGGCGTATGCCCGTCTTCATTAGCCCAGGTTAGGAGCAGAACAGTAGGACGTTAAACCTCATTTTATTTCATTTCATTACATTTAAACGTTTATTATTTAACCCACTGAAAGTCGCGGTCACGTGTAATCATACCAAAACCAGTTTGGACTGAACAATAGGTCACGTGATTTGTGCGTGGCTTTTATACCTGTGATAAATGACCCCTAATAACCTATATAAAGTTCAAGCTACTAGACCGTTATATCTACTTATTTGTTGATTATGTTGTTTACCTGTTTACATGTTTCGTATATCTAAAGTGGATACATCTCAATATATCTAACAGGCCTATACTGAGTGCATGTTTATAATTTATGAACATACAGCTCACGAAATCAGGTAGATTTAGATATCTTATAAAGAGACATTATTCGTGATCTAAATTTATGAAATATTCTAGATGTTGATATATAATTAAGAGCAAATATTGTGGTTGTTCGTGATCTATATTTGTAATTATTAGTAACGTGTGACACAAATTGTGGTTGTCCGGAATCTACATTTATAAATATTAGTAACGTGTAACATATATTGTGGTTGTTCTGGGTCAATATTTATAAATATTAGTAACGTGTGACATATATTGTGGTTATTCGTGATCTACATTTATAGTTATAAGTGACGTGTGACACAAATTGTGGTTATTCGTGATCTACATCTATAAATATTGGTAACGTGTGACATATATTGTGGTTATTCGTATCTACATTTATACATATTAGTAACGTGTTACATATATTGTGATTGTTCTGGATAACATTTATAAATATTGGTAACGTGTGACATATATTGTTGGTTGTTTGGGATAACATCTATAAATATTGGTAACTTGTGACGTATATTGTTGGTTGTTCTGGATAACATTTATAAATATAAGTTAAGTGTGACATATTTTGTAATTGTTCGGAATCTACACTTATAAATATGATTAACATGTGGGACATTGTATCAATATTTAATGATGTTACAACAATTTTAGTGGCTCTTGTTGTCTTATTAATTATTGGATATGTCATCTCAATGCAGGAACGATCTGGAATACCTCCTGGACCACCATTTTGGCCAGTTGTGGGGAACATGTTGGATATGCGAGGCAAACTCGTAGGTAAGAGACATAGATATTATGCCGAACTTCAAGAAAAATATGGCGACATCTTTCGTATTTATTGCGGCGACCAGTTGTTGATAGTTTAAATGACTTTGAATCTATAGAAGAGGCTTTTGTTAAGCAGAAGGACCGGTTTAGTACTCGTCCTATAGAGAAGTTATGGGTGATGAAACAGCTCGGCAAAGGTGGGAACGGGATCATCTGGGCTAATGGACAAGATTGGAAGAATGTGAGACGCATGTCACTCCGTAGTCTTCGCGATCTAGGGGTGGGAAAATCAACCCTGGAAGAACAGATTAAGGAAGAAACTAACATCATTTTGGACTTTTTATCAAACTGTGAAGACAAACCAATTAAAGTCCATGAATTGATGATGAAAGCCACAACCAACATCATTAGTATAGTTGTGTTTAGTAAACGGTATGATTATGGTGATCCCGAATTTCTTCAGATCCTTAAGGTTCTAGAAGATGGATTTGGTGATATGGTCTTTTTTACACCCGTTCATCGTTTTCCTATGCTTCGTTTCATACCTTTCATAGCCTCACAAATGTTGGCAGGACGAAATGCCATGATGGCGGTGGAACAGTTGATTGCTAAACACATTGAAAAGCGCAGGCAGGTTTTTGATAAAGAGGATATAAGTGATTTGATAGATGTATACTTCGACACGTGTGCTAACAAGGAGTCCAGTACCATTAGTGAAAGTAACATGAGAAGAATCATTTTGGATCTGTTTTTTGCTGGTTCTGACACAACAGTCACTACGCTGGACTGGGCATTTCTCTATATGGTCCTTCATCCGGAAGTCCAGAAGAAATGCCAAGAGGAAATTGATAGCGTGGTCGGCGATGACCGTATGGTTGACTGGTCTGATAAGTCTAAATTGTCTTACAACGAAGCGACACTTCTGGAAGTACAACGTCTAGGAAACGCACTACCAATGTCACTACCTCACACCACTGTCAAAGATACCAAAGTTAAAGGATATCTTATCCCAGAAGGTACCTTAGTTTATGCAAATCTGTACGCCTGCCATCTTGATTCTAGATACTGGAAGGAACCCTTGAAATTTAAACCAGAGAGGTTCTTAGATGGCTCCGGAAACGTATCCAAACCTCCTGTTACCTTTATGCCATTTTCAACAGGTCCACGGATGTGCCCAGGAGAACCACTTGCTAGAATGGAACTATTTCTGTTTTTCACAAATATCCTACAGAGATTTTCTGTGTCGCTTTCCGGTGGTGAGAAGCCCAGTAATGATGGATTTTGTGGAATGCGCATGTCAACACCAGAATATACTATCCATGCTACACGTCGATAAGTTTTCTGTAAACTTGTTAATTAGTTTGCCTCAAACGGAGCAGAACAGTAGGACGTTAAACCCAATTTCATTTCATATATATAGCTTAGTTGTAATTACTTATGTTTTGTCAATATGTTAAAGGAGCTAAGTCCGTAACTCAAAATCCTCCAAAATCTTCGACATCGAAAACACGAATTATTGGTCAATTTAAATCAACATTGATGATGTAAACTTACCGGGAAAAGATGAGCCTCTGATATCCGATATTTAAGATAAAATAATTTTTTTAACATTGGTACACAATCGTGTACCATAATGCGCTTCAGCCCCAGTTGTATTGAGAGACTCGAGGGACGAGGCTAGACACATTGCACCAAATCAAATGGAGTTATGTAGACTAGAATAACTAGACGCTAGACATTTGCACTCGATTGAGATTGCTGACTTATTTCGCTGATTTGAAATTGGAGTAAAAACGGAAACCATTAAATGTAAATCAGTTTATATACATTCATATTACAGTATTATATGCGTTGCGACCCACTTTTGTGAATTTTTAGGTCCCAAATGTTAGCGATTTAGCTCCTTTAATATGGTCGTATCTTGTTCTTGTCCCTTGGCAATCTTACAGGGGTTTTCTGTATCAGCTTCCGGCACGGTGAAATTTGGTACATGGGTATGTCGACACCAGGATATACCTCTTGCCGAACAGCTAAATCTATTTTTAAGGGTATTTCAATTTTTGTCAAGGTCGTTGAGATGTAAATAAGGTTAGAGCCCGTGATTCTTGGCGAGATGGTAGGTTAGGGTAAGCATTGGGGTTAGGTCCAGGGTTAGGGTTGGGATTAGCGCTAGCTATGTTTACATCTCGTAACCTCAGACGAAAAACTGAACTGCACCTTATCATTTAGCACTAATCCTCGATGTGTTTTCTGTAAACCTATTTCATTGTATGGCTTTGTTCCCGTGTCACATGTGTGTACGTCCACATGTTCTTCGACCTATGCTCAGTTCACACTTACTTTTTTACAAAACGGAAGATATGAATCTTCAAGTACTGGTTACATATTTTGAATAGTGAAAACTGTTTTATTTTGCTGAACTGTTTACAAACTTTGTTAGATTTCCATAATGATAGTAAAACACACGATAGTCAGGAGTGGTTAATTTGTATTAAAAATGAGTTAAATGTATTTGGTTTAATGTATATTTTTACCGAGTATAATGAAAAATATTTACTTGCTATTATTAATATAAATCTAACAATTATATCCACAAATAATGTAAGTAGGAAATGTGAACTGTACCGTAACATTGTTACAACATTTGATTTACAATATTATCTAAGGAACCCCTAATCAAATCTAAGTAAACAAGTATTATTTAAATTCCTCCAACGTGGTTTCCCCTTGTCAGTGATGCAGGACGGAGGGCCTGACAAGGACAGCTAGTCCTTCCGATGAGACGAAAAACCGAGGTCCCGTGTAAACATTGGAATGCACGTAAAAGATCCCTTAGCAGTTGGAATTCGATATAAGAGTAGGCGATAGTGCCGCTGCCCGGGCAAAATTTCCCTCATAGCACACTGTATGGCGTATGCCCGTCTTCATTAGCCCAGTATAGGAGCAGAACAGTAGGACGTTAAACCCCATTTCATTTCATTATTTAAATTCCGCACGTCTTCTCACCTTCTAAATATTGAGAATGGACGATACTGTAAAATACCAGTAGATGAACGTATATGTCTAATTTGTGATAGTCACGACACTGAAGATGTCCTGAGGTGTCCTGTTTAAAAATCTATCAGAGAACAATATCTTAAACGGTATTGTTTTGTAAGACCTTCAGTATTTAAACTCGCACATTTGTTTGCATCAAACAATGTAAATGAGTTGAATAAGCTAAGTAATTTGTTAAAACAGGCTTTGTGTTTAAGAAAAAGTTTAATTACGGTTTGGTAGTTGATTATTTAATTTATTTAATCATTGCTGTTCTCAAAGACTCTGTGCCATCAATGTAATGTACAATTTCTGTATCTATATGCCGAAAGGCATCTGATCTTGAATAAAATAGTTAAAAGATACAATTTAAATATACTATTAAATAAAAGTAGGGGATATTTGATTTTTAAGTGTTATTAAAGTCACCTAATGAAACTGACGAAGAAACAAATGACAAAATGAAATGAAGTTCACATTCATCGATTTATTCCAAATGATCGTTAGACTAAGTAAGGCGCAGACTGACCATTATAAGGGTAAACTGATACCCGGGGTCAAACAGCAAAGTTACCACAGCACCACAACCAAGTCAGTAACGGGTAAATCCTCCTCTGTTTGCCAAACAAGCATTGATCCGACGTGACATACTCCTAATGAGACGTCTAAGGTCATTTTGGTCCAGATTGTCCCATTCCTGTTGCAACGCAGCAGCAAGTTCTTGGACATTGGCAGGACGTTGTTGACGTTGACGTAACCTCTGTCCAAGCATGTCCCAGACATGCTCGATGGGGGAGAGGTCGGGACTCAGTGCTGGCCAAGGTAATGTGGTGATGTTCTGTTGTTGGAGGTAACCTGTAACGATCCTGGCCCTGTGACATCTTGCGTTGTCATCCTGGAAGATGAAACGGCGGCCATGACGTCGTGCGAACGGCACAACATGGACTGCCAAGATGTTGTCCCGGTAGTACTGGCCTGTAACACGCCCTGCAACAACATCTAAAGCCGTTCTTCCAGCAACAGTGATGCCTCCCCACACTATAACAGAACCACCCCCAAATCGATCATGTCTGATGACGTTAACGTCTTGGAAGCGCTCGTTTCGACGACGCCACACCCTCCTACGTCTGTCCAAAAAATCAACAGTGAACCTTGACTCATCTGAAAACATCACATTGCTCCAGCGTCGATTATCCCAGTGTTGACGATCCCTACACCAACGACGTCTTGCCTGAATGTGATGATCTCTCAAACAAGGGATCACGCGAGGACGTCGGGCGCGAAGGTGACCCCTATGCAGTCGATTCCGAATCGTCTGGCCACTCACTCTCACACCAGTGTCTGTTTGAAGACGAGCGCTGATCTGATTTGCTGTGATGACACGATTTCTCAAGGCCAAGGTACGGATAAACCGATCCTGGGCTTGAGTTGTCGCCCTTGGTCGACCTGAGCGTGGTCTGTCCTGTACAGATTGTGTATCACGGTATCTGGACCATAGCCTGCTTATGACAGACTGAGAAACATTCATCGTCCGCGCCACAACCGCCTGTGTTGTGCCGATCTGTAGCATGCCAAGGGCACGTAACCTTTCATTTTGGGTAAGCCGACGCATATCAAAATTTGTTTTCTGGTCACTAAAACAATTAAACTGATGTTTCCACCCTGGAATTCAATGCCACAATGACTGTAACATTCAAAGTCAGAGTCGTGCAAATCTTGGGTTGGACCCCCATGATGATCCCAAGCATCACCTGCATTCCATGCGGTAGCTATTGGTGCGACATACTCACTGACGATATTGACGCTATTTTGGGCTCGATTACATTAGGAATATTAAAAACAAAAAAACATGAAATTAAATCGTCCTATAGTTAAAATAGGTTGGATCATAAAATCTGTCTTTGAGTTAAGTGGCGTAGTTTCGATTTCAACCTTGGTCCCCTTTCCAACCCCGTAGGATTTCTCCGGGTCCTCCGTTTACCTCCCACTGCTTAAGACCCCTACGCGCAAGCAAATTATTGAAATAAATTAAACCATATGTTAGTCCCGAAATGACCTAGTTTGTGTCGAGTGCACGTTGACCCCTCTCTCACTCTCCTTCTGTTAAAGTCAAAATATCAGCCCATGTACCAACTGGGATATAAATACCAGAGCCATGTCCTCTGTCCTTACCATGTCCTCATCCCCTTCCCTGCCCCCTGACGCGGCCCCCCTTTACAACTGGTCAGATCTTCATGTAGTATGGGCCATCGAAATTATATTTTAAAAAAAACTAAACGAAACATAGATCTATTTTTAATCAGATTGATTCATTTGTTTATCCCTTTTACATATTTCATCTGTATAAATAAGATTATGCACGGTAAAATAAATATCAAACCTGTCTAGGTATTATAAAAAGATTTAATCAACGCGGACATAAAATATAATAAAGTTTCCGGATTTAAAGTAAAAAACATAACAATTACAAATCGATTATATTGATAATGTAAATATGTTTTGTGAATTAAAAAGAGAATCACACGTATAATCTGTTTAGTTGTGTTTTTATGTCCATTGTTTCGGATATTAATAAGTTCTGGTTTCAATAAAATACCTTTAAGCCAACAATCAACTCATCAACCAATGTGTATCTTTGTATATTTCGTATAAAATTTATAAAATATTTTGTTTTAATAAAGAACACACCATGTTTGTGTAATAATAATTTCAACGGTTTTTTTTAACTAGATTATGAGCTGGCCTACATTTCATGAAGCTCTAGCTGCTGGTATTAAGGGGTCGTGACAGGGGTCATGCGATCGGCCTTTAAGTCTTTGCCGTCAATCAGCGTCAGTGTTTCAACGGGTATTCGAAAATACAACTTTTGATTTGATTTGTGAATATCTACCCACAGTTCCCCGTGCCGGACGATAAGAACTCGACTCAACAGACCATTTGATTGTCTAATCCGCCACACCAAACAGAACGAGGGTAATATCTTCCAAATCCGACGGTAGTAAAGATAAGTAAAACGACATTCTAACTACAAAAAACGAAACGAATCGAAATAGGATACGTGTTTTAATCCGATTGTGTCCTTCATGACAGGTGCATAACAGACGCATCACTATCACTTCCCACTACGCGTGGGTTGTGAGCTTTGAATGGGAGAGCCAATGTTACCACCAGTTTCCAGTATGCGTGGGTTGGGTCGTGGGTGTAAGCTTTGAATGGGAGAGCTAATATAACACGTTACCACCAGTTTCCAGTAAGCGTGGGTTAGGTCGGGGGTGTAAGCTTTGAATGGGAGAGCCAATATATGTTACCATCAGTTTCCAGTAAGCGTGGGTTGGGTCGGGGATGTAAGCTTTGAATGGGAGAGCTAATATAACACGTTACCACCAGTTTTCAGTAAGCGTGAGTTGGGTCGGGGATGTAAGCTTTGAATGGGAGAGCTAATATAACACGTTACCACCAGTTTCCAGTAAGCGTGGGTTGGGTCGGGGATGTAAGCTTTGAATGGGAGAGCCAATATAATAATTACCACCAGTTCCAAGAGGCGCGGGATGGGCTGGGTCGCGGATGTGAGCTTTGAATGGGAGAGCCAATATGATATGTTACAACCTGTTCACAGTATGCGTCGGATGGGTCGGGGATATGAGCTTTGAATGGGAGAGTCAATATAATATAATACAGTTTACGTTCACAGCAATAAAAGCTGACAAACTGGATTCAACATTTCGACTTTTTTAATCCGATGCAGAGATATTAAGTTTTAATTGTTTTTGATTGTTATTTTTGTTGCAAATTCTGTATATATCTGCCTACTATTCACATCTTTGTATCAATTGCCTGATAAAGATGAGAGCTTCCTAGCCGAATCGTCGCTAAATATTAAACTCAGTAATTATGTATCTATAAAAGTGAACCGTGTGTCAATCAAAGAAAAGGTATGATTAACCCGGTCTGCTGCTTCTGATTAAATCAAAAATTGGATAATCGAGGCTATGTTTTTTTTTATCGTACCGACTTTAGTAATGATGATCGAGGTTAGGTCGAAAATTCAATCGCTAAATTCTCGGTTCAAAGTAGATCAATTTGACTGAAATTTTCAGCAAATACCCTTTATATTATCTTGTTTTTAACTATTATAGTGAGAACTACCAGCTCTTTATCTAATCTCCCATAATGTATCTTTAATAGTAAGTCTATTGGTGAAGTAACGTAAGACATTAAACACCGTTTCATTTATTTGCCTTAATATACAATCTATAAACAATGTTTAAACAATTAAAATAAAAATAAGGTCAAAGATGCATTATGTAAAAGATAAATCGTCCTATTGCAGGTTTTTCTTTGGTCTCAAATGTTCTATAAAATATTAATTAGACATTGTCATTTATTTACATGACATGGCATTTAATAATTTAATTTGAAATTTAACTTCACAACGAAAATCAAGACTACGCTATTCTTCAAACTGTGCTCAGAATAAAGTAATTTGGCTGAATTTGTCAATATATTCCTTTTCAATCCCTTTATTTGAAATAGTATAGCAAGACCTTTCAGCTCTATATCTCAAAGTTACATACTGCATCTATAATATTTAATATCTTGTATCACATGGCATCCTTCTGTTGCATCATCGTCAATGTTATCGCTCTGGTTATAAAGAGTCAAAAATTAAGGGAATTTTTTTTTAGGATGTACAATAATAACATTTTTTATATGGATCATTATGAAAAAAAGGCCCGTTTACTTTGTTATTCTTTATATTGGCGAATGTTGAAAAACGAACTTTTTGTTTTTCGTTATTCGCCAATATCAAAAAACGAGTAGCTCGTTTTTCAGTATTCTCCAATATCGAAAAACGAAAATTGACCTAACTTCACACTGCATCTTAATATTGGATGTGGCCTGTAGAGTGTCTACAAACATTTGCGGACGCACGTCCCGAAGTATGAAGTTATGTAGACAAACGGACTATGATATTAATTCAAGGGTGAGTAAAAATAACTGTGCTATTACATACTAAAATGACTTATTGTCACTCTAAAAACACAAACACGTCCCGAAGTATGAAGTCATGTAGACAAACGGACTATGATATTAATTCGAGGGTGAGTAAAAATAACTGTGCTATTACATACTAAAATGACTTATTGTCACTCTAAAAACACAAACGCCATATTTAAACTGGCGTCCGAATATAAAGGTGCTGTGCCATACTCTCTAATTATTCATTTTTTAAAGTGGAACAAAATCTTTGTTCACAAACCGATTTTGATGAACTTTTCAGAATAAGCTTATTACT